TCTGACTCTTTTCTTAGCACCGAATGCTGCATCCTCTGAATTTCTTTATGAAATACCATGTACTTCTGTATGCTTTTACCCCTGAAAAAGTGGGTTCACCTCCAGGTCGAAACATGCAAAATTCTGTTGCGCGTTGGTGCTGATGGATGGATGATGGCTGACAAGAACAGTAACTTTGGTACCAATATTGTATTAGACTCACACAGTCGCTGACAACAGAAATGTTGGCTATAGCTCTAGCCTTTTCTTTCTGTTGGTATCTTCCTTTCTCTCTCAGATCTACCTCGCTTTCCTCGTTTCGGTTCAGGCAAACCTAGTAGTATAGGGGCGAGTAAGGTTAGAAAAATAGGGAACATGCTAATGTGGGTACTAGGCAGGTAACTAACTACACTAAGGTAGTGCAGACTGTGTAGAGCCTGACGTATCAATTAACTTGGCCAGTGCTTTCTGTATTTATTACGAGATGTCTTCTAACAATTTCAAAATGCAATTGTCGTCCCAAAAGTCCGAGGTCGACAGACTGTGTCCGGTCACTCATTGCACTCTCTGCCTTTTTCCTTGATTCTGTGTAACATTGAATCCTCTCGCATGACTGGACACTGAAGTTTCACTGCTCAGGTCTGATGGAGCACGCCCTGCTGTCATTGAACGATCAATCAATCGGGTCTAGAGCTGCTGAACAAGGATTTTTTTTCTTTCTTTCCTTACGGAAGGATTACACTGACTTTATGTATAACTATACGCGGGATGAAAGGGATGAAGATGAATTATCTGAATTAGATTATGAATTCAAGTTCAAACAAAGGGGTAAAGGCAGAATTGTCGGTTAAGATACATATGACGATGACTGAATGTACTCTGAAGGCGAGACTTTTTTCCCTTATTCTTACCTGTCCGTTGCTGTGACGGGCCGGGCCTTCATCTCGGAACCGCTCAAACTCAGCCATGACCCGTGGATCTTACAGGTGACGGACAGTTCCATCCCATCGCCCAACCTCTTTAGGTCACGCTAATTCTATGAGGCAAAATTTTTGACTTGGTTACTGATCCCAACACAATAGGGTTTTGAGATAGGTGAGGCCTCTGAGAAATCACTCCGTGCTCCAGCTGAACCGTGCTCCTCCACATCGAGGGGATGCTGGGGCCAAAGAGCCATACAAACTAACTACTCCATACCATGTAAGTAAAACTCCTATTCCCGGCCTCATCGATCGTGGACAGCGACCACTGCGTTCCCGACATTGTGGGCCCGAGGGCCAAGGATTCCCCTAGTGAGGATCTATTGGATTAGACTGCGGCAAAGTTCAAACCTACTCTTACATACAGTAACCTTACTGCACGGGCTGTAGGTACCAGCCAGCCAGACAGACATACCTACATAAGCAGACATAATTTGTGGATATCAGACCTACAATTTTTTTTTCTACCCCAGAGGAAAAAGGAAAAAGAAAAAAAAATGTCTATAAATATGAGTGGTAACTAAGAACTAAAAATTCAACACTATAAAATATTACAAACGGAAGAAAAAGAAAAAATACTATCTCTCGCGTGTTTGGATCGGGTGAAGGGAGTGGTGACTCGCACATCCATAGGCGACGGCAGCTGATCCACAACGATCGAATCTCAAACATGGGATCTAAGGAGATGCGAAAGCTGACAGTCGTGAGATGTATCACATTTGCGGTTTCACGCAGTGTCAGGAGAAGAAAGTGAGATGATCGGTGACATCATAGGAACAACCATTAGTCGGTTTTGACTGTATGTGTCTTTGCATGTTGAAGATTTACTTATTCATGGTCTTTTTCCTGGTAATCAGCATATGTTCGGGGTTTGTTTTTCTGTTGCACGCAGGCAGTAATCATAAAGATACTAGGCACTTACTCATATTACTCTCTACTCTCTAGATGTCCATTTTTCGTGGAGACCCGAAATCATCAAGTATGGTTCATGCACAGTCTGCATGTATGTACTATGATGATACAGATTAATTATGTGTCAACACTAAACACAGCAGCTTAGCTCAGGCCAGTCTAGAGCTAGCCGAACCTGACCTTCTTCGGATTCGTGAGGACTACTTTAGTTACCTAGATACTAGGCAGGCATGCACAAGTAAGTTTAGTCGAGATGATCCACCCTGTTACATCGGCATTCAATCCTCTCATGGGATTCAGCAGCTTCTAAAGACGGCCTCAGTGTCTGTCTGCTTGATCCATTTCCCCCATCATGCACAGCAAGGAGGTTTCTATATTGCAGGATTGCTATCCCGTAATGATCAGATCTATTCTAGCAACGCCCATATCATTGAGGAGATGCTGAGTGCCCAACTGTTAATCATTTTCGGTTCCAAGAGAAAGTCAGGAGAAGACATTGGTGCTAACTATACTGCATGACCGCCGATTTCACGATAAACAATATCATCAAATGATTTATTACTTGATTTTCAAAATCCCAATCTGTACTTCTTATCAAGGATGCACAAGGAGCTCGTACAGGTTGAAATCTCGCCAAGCCACACCAACCCTGTTCCACCTTTTTTTTCCTCCCCTTCTTCCCGAGCGAGATCCGCCAGTCGATCATCACGGCTCCTGCTCGGGAAAAAGAAAAGAGGGAAAGGAGAGCCTGGGAGCAAAAGTCAGATTTGACACCCCACGGCGATATAGGCGCCGGCTGGTGCCTGCTCGCAGCACGTAAGGCATGATGTAGGGCGACTGCCCAATGCACCACCCTCTTCACCACCTCGTGATCGCAGGGAGGCTGCTTGTCAGAAGATGCAGGAGAGAAAATCGCGTCCGATCAATAGTGCCGGCTAGCACTGCCCGGGTCTGTGACGAACAAAAGCCGATTGAGAGTCGGTTCGACTCGTATCGCGACGGTACCTGATAATGTCACATTTGTGACCATGGCTTTGATTTGACATGACTTATGGAGGGTGCTCTTTTTAAAATTACTTGTTCAAAAATGCTTCGGCTTTTCTTTTTCATTACTATGTTTTAGATCAAAAGAGTTAATGGTTGAGTAGAAAAAGAGAGAGAGAGAGAGAGAGAAATATATATATTTGAAGGCCTTATTTCAATATAGACTTATTCAATTGCAAGGGGGTGGGTGCTTTTTTGTTCACGTACTTCAGTTTGTTGTGTTGAGAGGCAATTGACTAGATAGTTACTACTACCGACTTTGGGGGGGAAAAAAAAGAAAATCACAACTTGGTCTGTTGGTAAATACGGGCTTACTTACTTTACCACTAAGGTTACGTGACATTATCCCCGAGGAAGGAAGGAACCATCGGCCACACCGCATGGACTGGAAAATCAGGAACGGAGCACCTAACGGGGCAGTGGAGCAGGTGCGATGGATCCCCGGAATCGACACATTAATTCTCTACTTTTAGTCACTTGTTAAATGACTATTAACTAATCTACTAACTAATCCACAGTAGGTATCACTACTAACCGACTAGTAGTAGCTAGTTATGTCTGTGCCCTCGCAATTACTCCTATAACTAATCTCACCTGCTGGGTTGTCTCATGCCAATGCAGCATGCCAGTTCCCATCACACCGCGGGCATAGCCTAGGCAATGAGTGGCCTTTCTCCGGGGGCCCTTACCGAGCCTCGTTTATGTCGATTTCGACGAACACTGCGAGTGGGAGCAGTCTCAAAAAAGCCCACAGGGAGGATCCATATAGTTGGAGGATCGTCATCCGCAGGCAGACCATCCAGAGCTCCTCCCCCCACTTGTTCTCCAACCAACTACGTACTCTACTACTCCTACACTGAGGACGATGGAGTACAGCCCTGGTTGATCGTGACTTTAACCGAATACTGTCCGGGATGTCTTGCTTGCCCTTAAACCACTGAAGTCATGCCGAATCCACACCTCGCACTCACTGCCTCTAAGGGAATTGTGCCGTATGTGCGCAAGACAATGAGTTACACAGGCAGAGCATGACCATGGCGATGCACCATTTTGATCGGAACACTTACAAGCTGTTACTATTCACAATGCAGTATAGTATGTACAAGAGTTTTTCTGTGCTGATCTGATCGTCTTGATGTTTGCCAATCGAATTCCATGTCTTTGTGGTTGACACAGACCCAGAGATCCTTGCCACATCTCAAAACTGAACTCCATTTAGCTCATGACGGAAGCCTGTGATTTCCCTTTAGTGGCGGCGGCTACGCCAATGCCTTAAAGTCCGGTGCACCTGCTGTGTTTAGCCTTCCCGGAAAAGTCCGTGGACCTAGCCAACTAGGCAGGTATCGATCTCGCTTTAGACCCATAGATCACCGAGTGGATTCCCTACGGACCACGGAGTTTATATATTCTAGTTATGTATGTCCACTGCCATGTACGCCGCTACTGCAGTCATTCATAATGTGAGGACATAGGTCCGTGACCAACTCAACAACCTGCATCTACTACTGATGCTAGTTCAACCCCGAGAAACTGCATGGCAGCCTATGCCCCTTAGTGACGGCGCTGCCGGTCCTTTTTTTCTGGATGCCCAATACAGGTATAGATCTATGGGTATGCATTCATACGCACGGTGACCGAATAGTGGTGCCGACTACTGAACTCACCCCCCCCGCAACGTGCAGGTGCCCGTCACGGGGGCTGCAGATATCTCGATTGAAGGGTGATCTTACGGGGATAGGTAACCGACGGAGCACATCCCTGTGCTCTCCGATGTCTACTTTGTTGTCGCCGGTCAATCGTACGGACTATGAAGTTAACTGAAGAACGGGGAGGGTGACTAGTCTTTCAGCCGACTACTTGATGCCGCAGTCAACAAGCCCTCTGGATTGTCGTCATCTCTGCGCGATGGCAACCGCTAAGGAAGCGCCTGCACCCCTACCGATCATCACACTGCTCTCGTGACAATTGCATTCAGCTTCCTCAGAATAAATTCACAACCACGTAATCAGCGCAAAATTACTACCAGTACAGCCTTTTTATCGTGCTTCGTTTTCTTCCTCTTTTTTTTGTTTCGCTTCGCTTGTAGCATTTCGTCTCCTTTGGAAAAGAAAAAAACAACCCCAGGGTCACTTCCCCGTGCAAGGAGTTGTGACAATAAAGCGATTGGCCTTTTGCAACGCAAATCCCGGTAGTGACGTCGAACAAGACGCGGCACGCAGACAAAATAGGAAACGGGAGATTCGAAAAGAAGAAACATGATTCCATAATTGCGCCAGAGCTTTCCCAAATCATTCTCATCACCGTCCAGTGTAGGTAGAGTATCTGTTCGGAGCGACCTTGTCAACAATGTTCATGATAGAGAAGAAGAAAACAGAAAGCCACCAGGACGATGATGAACGCCTTGTAGGCCAGTAGGAACGTACCTCCAGATTCTTGCCCGCATGTCACCACTACCAGTGGCAAACAGGTTATTAGTAGGGCTGGGCGCCACGGAGATGACTGTTACTGAGTTAGCAAAAGCCAAGATCACCTGGCAAGAGACATAGTGCTCGGAGGGTTTAGGTACGCACCTGAGTTCTTGTGTCCCTGGAGCATCATCTGCGCATTTCCGGTGATGGGGTCCCAGAATTGAACGCCCCGGTCTTTAGAACCACTCATGACCCAATGTCCGTCGGGAGTCAGGCAGACGCTGAGCACAAAGTCCTAATCCATGAGGTCAGCAACCACGAAACGAGTATTGGCCTTTTGCTAACGGAGAGTATGCATTTACCTTGTGACCTTCAAAAGTGCGGACGCATTTACCACCCTTAACTCCGCTTCCGGGGTAGGCGCCACGGGGCACGTTGAGCTCCCAAAGTTTGATGGTCTTGTCCAGACTACCACTGACGAGGTCCCGGCCGTTGGGGGCGAAGGCAACCGAGTACACGCTGTCCTTGTGTCCATCGGGGCTCTCCAACCGTTCCACAAGGTAGCCGGTAGTGGTATCCCAAACACGCACACTCTTATCGAGAGAGCCTGCGGCGACGTAGTGACCATCTGGGGACATAGCCACGGTGGTCACACCGTCTTCGATGCTCAGGGTGTAGACCAACTTGCCATCCAGGATATCCCAAAGGCGAACAGTCTTGTCTCCACTACCGGACGCAATGTACCGACCATTGCCAGCGAAGTCAAGAGAGTAGATATCCTGCTCGTGACCGGTAAAGATATGCTTGATCGTCCGGGCATTGATGTCCCAAACCTAACGGTAAGAAAAGAAGGAAAAAGGGTTAGCTGCGAAATCATTCGAATAACAGCGCACCAAAGCGGCCATCAATAATACTAGTGATGTTAAAGCAGGACCACGTACCCGAATCTGCTTGTCTTCTGCGCCAGTCGCAAGATACTTGCCGTCAGGGCTGAAGCAGACGCTGCGGATGTAAAGGTCGCCGTTCTTGTCCACATTCTCATCCTGCAGCGTCGCAACGTTCTGACCCGTGGTCACATCGAAGATCTGCGCAGAGCGATTGCAGCCGGTCGCAAGGTACTTGCCGTCACGGCTGAAACGAACACAGCACACAACGCTGTCGTGGACAAGGTGATGAACAAGTTCCACATCCAGCACGCGCTGCACCTCGGGATTGAACACGGCGTACCAATCGGCACCCTCTCGCTTCTGTGACGCCGGCAGATCGTCAGGATTCCAGTTGGCCAGCATGTTTCCCGGGCGATCTCGCACGAGAGCCTGGCTAGGAGGCGTTGGGCGGGCCAATTGCGGCGAGGAGACACGGGGATCAGATGTGTAGGCCAGCTGGTGGGTCTGTTGAGGAGTGGCCGGACCGGGAGGAGCACGGGGCCGCTTGCCAGGGCCGGGGGAGGCAGCAGGAGGAGGGGGAGGTCCATAGCCTGTTTAGAGATCGAGGCGATCACAATGTCAGAGGTCAGGCAATCTGTCTTTCAAACATAGTCATAACATACCGTTCACAGCAGCACCAGGCTGATATCCTCCAAAAGAGCTCTGCGGTGGTTGCGGCGCTCCTTGCTGGGCCGCGGCAGCAGGCTGTTGAAGGGTATGCTGGGGAGGCTGCTGATCCTGGGGAGGGGGAGGGGCAACTGGAAGACCGGGGCCACTACCTCCTTGGTTGGTCATGATGCCACCAAACAGATTGCTAGGGCCGTGACCCAGGGCCGGTGGCGGGGCCTGAGAAGGTCCAGCGTGCTGGGCCGGGCCGGTAATGTGAGATGACACGGGCTGAACACCACGCGATTCAAGCTCGTGTCGCAGCACCCGAATCTCTGCTTCGTAACTACAATGATGGATAAGGCGTTAGTACGGCGATGGGGTAGGATGAGCCGCCGCAGGCCAAGTAACGTACTCTTGTTTCATCTTAAGTTGTGCCTGTTCCAGTTGATAGACCTTCTGGCGGATCATCTCCATCTCTTGAAGCTGCCCGGTTACTAGGGGTGGTAGAAACCAAGCGTCAGCAGAATACACCAAAGGGGGGAAGATGACAATAACAATAATAACTCTGGGCGACACAAGATGCTCTCCATTGCATTAAAACTCCGGAGTTCACCCGTACGCCGCTGACCTGCGCCACAAGGTGAAACCCGACGGAAACGCGCCGTGACAAGCAAAATTCTCGTCGCAAAGCCAATCCAAATAGCACAGAGGACCAAGGAAATAACAAACATACGCTGATGTTCAAACTCGCCAGTGCTTCGAGACTGATTCTCGAATTCCTGGCGCAGTTGGTCCAACAACTCCGTCAGACGGGAGTTGGGAGCCGGAACCATTCCGCGATGAGTATTATACATAGCGCGAAATGTTTGTGTTGTTATTATCCCGTGTTCGCTTGGGCAACAATAGAGGGGTGGACAATCCGAACAACGAGACGTAGGAACGAAAAGTCGCTTAGGCGGAAAGTCAGTGGTTGTGGTGGGGGGGGAATGGTTGGTGGTCGACCGAAGGGATAAGTAGTTCAACGGCAAGAGTAATCCGCGACTCCGGGAAAAAAGAAGAAGATATGGGCGACGGGAGTCGCTGTTAGGCGACAGAGACTGGTGTGAGGAAATCGATCACCGCAGCCGCATCACAGCGCGCCCCTGAGGACTCGGCGCGGCAACGTGGTCGGAAAGGGGAAAACAGTAGAAGGAAATGGGGGGAAGTATGTTGAATGGGGAGAATTGCGCGTGGACGACGATCCGGGGCGGACGATGGATGAAAGGCGAGACGATAAAGGGACGACAAGGGAAGAGGGGGGTGGAGGAGCAAAAGCTGAGGCTGAAGGAGGAGGAGAGCGAGATGAAGTGACAGTTGAAGGTCCGTTCAGTTCAGGTTCGAGTTCGTTAGTCTTTCTTAGGTAAGGTTCCTCCGGGTCACGCTCGGCTGTTCCGGGTCCGGAGAACCACCACCGCCCAATGGACGTGCCCGCTTTGCCGCCCGAAGCGAGTCCCAAGTAGGCCAGACATTGAAGTATAGTCTACTTCGTACATACTGTATATCACATTAAAAGTAACCTTTCAAGGTATAAATCTATACTCCTATTTGTTTCGTAGTTATAGGTCTGGAAATACTCACAATTGACACTCTAGTTCCCACTATTTCCTCGGAATAAAGCTAACTGACTCAATGGCGAGGCTGGAAAGAAGGTACGGCGCTTAAGTGTGACCGTATTGAACATAGACTTCTCACCTAAATGCAGCCATAGCCGCCGCAATACTGCAACAATACAGAATGTGTGCAACTTGCACATACGTTACTAAACCATATCATCCCGTGACCTTATCAGATCGGCCGGAATTGCGGATGTAGTTTAACTCCCCAACTGGAAATACACGTTGGAACCCTTATTTTTTTTTCCTTTTTCCCTTCTGCGGTTGTATTTTCCTTGGGAAGGGGATAAGGAACACAAAAAACTACTACCTAGTACAATTCAAGAATTCCACTTAAGTCGCTGATAGAACACTCTACAGTTTACTTATATTATAGATCTAATCACTTTAATTAGTTAGATGTAGACAACTATACATTATTCAGTAGTAGACCATCTCCACCTTCCACAACAAATCAGACGGAACGGCAGGCCTCGTTCCGCCTGGTGTGATCCTCACGGCCATCTGATAGGCTCCTCCTCCACCAAATCGCAGATGAGTGCCATTCTGCAAATTATATTACTTAACTTCTTCATCTTCTTCTTCTTCTCATCTTCTTTACCCCTTCCTTTCTTCCAACTATTCTTCTTCTCCTCGCCAATTTTACATTCTTTCCTTTCCCCCCCTTAACCCCCCGCCCAAATTGCCCAACCCTAAAAAGTAGTACTTACCAACAACCACTACTGGCTGGCACTTCAATCATTTTTTAACCTCCTTCCCCCTTTCCTCCTCCGCGAACCATCCGAACTCTCCCCCGATTTCTCAACACCTTGTTCCGCCTACCACCCTTATAATATTGTATTCTCACACGCTCAAATCCGGGCATCATGGATATCGCCCTCGAAATCTGGGACACCTTCATTGGTGATCGCCTCTACGCCTCTCTTCTCCCTCTATCTCTCGCCTCATCCGCCTCGCTCCCTGGCTTCACTACCGTCACCAACAGCACCCTGTCGTTCTTTGGCGCAACCCAGCCCTTTGTCTACGAACCGGCTACTCAATTGATTTACTTGGAGCCTTCCAAGTTTGCCTACTTGAGCGCCTGGCCAAGGAACAATATTTATCGTCAGTTCCTTTCTTTCTTCTTGATCGTCTGGTATGTGCACTTGCCTTCTTTTCTCGGGTCTTCGTTCCCCCCCACCTCCCAATCTTCCCTTTGGCTAACTGTGTGGGCGCATTATGTGCGCCTTGATCAGGATTTTCGGTATCATCGTCTACTTCATTTCCGCAAGCCTTTCCTACATCTTCATCTGGGATAAGACCACCGTTCACCACCCTAAGTACCTCAAGAACCAAATTCCTATGGAAATCGCCCAGACTATGCGCTCGATGCCGGTTATGTCCTTGTTGACTGCCCCTTTTCTGGTTGCCGAAGTCCGTGGCTACGCCAAGCTCTATGATACCTTCTCCGAAGAGCCATTCCCCTACTACAGTATCTTGCAATTCCCGCTCTTCATCATGTTCACCGACCTCTGCATCTACTGGATTCACCGCGGCCTGCACCACCCGCTTATTTATAAGACCTTGCACAAGCCTCACCACAAGTGGATTATGCCTAGTCCCTTCGCCTCCCACGCCTTTCACCCGCTTGACGGCTGGTCGCAGAGTGTCCCCTACCACGTATTCCCGTTCATCTTCCCACTTCAGAAGCTGGCCTACGTCTTCCTCTTCGGGTTCATCAACCTCTGGACCGTGCTGATTCACGACGGCGAGTACGTTGCCAACAGCCCAGTGATCAACGGAGCGGCCTGCCACACCATGCACCACCTGTACTTCAACTACAATTATGGCCAGTTCACAACCCTCTGGGATCGTCTGGGCGGTAGCTATCGCAAGCCCAACGAGGAGCTCTTCCGCCGCGACACAAAGAATGGCGAGGAGGAGTGGAAGCGACAGACCAAGGAGATGGAAACCATTCTCAAGGATGTCGAAGGCGACGATGACCGGGCGTACCTGGCTGATTCTCAGACCAAGAAGAACCTGTGAATGTGGGAATCATGACCAGTCACTAAGGGATCTGTTCTCAACCTCACAGGTCCATGGAGATCATCTCTGTTTCCCGGGCCCAGACTTCACATAATGAGTTCATGGCTTCTCCCTATTTTTCGACCTTCTCACGCTACGCCGCCCTGACTACGTCTTGTATAACACGGATCCTAGTATATTAATTGTTCCAGCCCCCTTTATAGACGTGTATATTAATTCAACCTCGAGTCACTGGTTATGCCCTGCTTGTGAAGGAACACCGGAACCGTACCGGCCAGTTGTCTGTTTGGTTCGTTTATTTCTTGTTTTCTTTTTGCTTTGTACATATATATGATCGATCAACGGAAAGGGGAGCGGAGATTTCAACATTACATTTTAATCTAAAAATTCACTGCATTACGTTAACAATATATATCCTTGTATGTATGTATAGGTGTAGATACAACACCTCTTAGTTTTGACGAAGACAGCAGGAAAATACTCCCAAGAAACTCGTGTTAGCAGAACATCATAAGAAGATTCAGTGAACTAAAACAATTCCTTGATTTTTCTTTTCTCCTCTTTAGTGGTTATATTAGACTCTTTTTGATTTTTAGTTTGAACGCCCTCACCCGCTGAAATTGGTCGAGATAAAACAAGTGCCACAACCTAACTTATGTATGTATACAGAAGAGCGAAGAGGAAAATGGAAAGAAATCCTGGAGTTGAAGATTGAAGGTCTCCTCCAAGTATATCTGATCCGATTACGACCTAATCAAAGCTTCCACGCTCATTCGATGTCCACGCTCGCATCGGCTTCAGCGATATCCATTTCCCCATCTGCGGGGATACTTTCCGAAGCGCCAGTCTCTTCCGGGGCCGGAGGGGGAGCGACCGTGCCGACAGGAGTAGCCGTGGCCATGGCGTCCGCAATGAAAGATTCCTCGACGCCGGCCTTCCTGCGGAACACTCTGAGCCAGCGCTGGCCCCATTGCCGGATGATTTCATCCTCGGGCAAGTTTCCACTTCCGTCTCCTCTTTCCATCTGCTCGTCGTTGCTTCCGCCGGCCACTGATACGATGGAGTCTTCAATGACCTTGAAAAGAGATTGCATATCAACCTTCTCGCGACTGAGCGTCTCATCGAGGACACTGAGCTGCGGCTCGTAAAGACCCGGCTGAGTACGTGCGGCAACAATTTGGCGCAGGCGGTTGGTGACCTTTCCAACAGTGGCGGAGATCATCTCGAAGATGTGGGACTTGGCAAGAACGGTTCCTGCCTCTAGCTTGTCCACCAACGCCCATTCAATGACTGACAGTGGGGTCAAGATGGTGTAGTTGAGAAGCTTGTCAATGATGTTGATTCCGACGCCGGGCTGGTCGACCCAATACTCCATGACGGAGGTTATAATCTGGCGCCTCGCCTGTGCAGACTGGGGTCCGATGGCCAGGAGTCGTTCCTTGTTCCGTTCAATGCAGGACAGTACATGAGACAGAGACTTGGAGCCAACAAAGCAGATGGCCGTAACGAAGGCATCAGTTGAAGGCAGCAGCGGGTCTTCGACACCGAGAGATCTGGCTTGCTCTTCAATTGCGTTGATAAAAGGCTGGATCTCCTCGTCGCTAGCCTTCTTACGGACCAGTTGCATGATTTCTCTGCCTTCATTCGCATACGGAGTAGCTGAACGAAACATAATTAGCCAATCGTTTTGAATCCCAGCCAAAGTCAAGTTTGTAAATAGGAGTGACTGGGAAGAGTGGACTTAAAGCGACGGAAGGGAAAAACTTACTATCAGACGAGTACTTGAAATCGGGAGTGTCTTTCTCTTTTCCTTCCGTGATCAAGTCTTGGTATGGGTCAGGGAGAGTGCCCCTGATACGCTGTGCAAAGCTCAGCCGGATCTCCTTGTCAAGGGCGCCGTTAATAAAGGCCATCCGGGGGTGAACGAGAGGCAGCTCCAAGTCATCAATCCTGAGCCATTGTTAGCCGATCTGCAATGCATTCTGCCTGCTCATGAGCCTTACCATTCACTCCATTTCCAAGTGAACCCAAAGTTGCTCAGGTGATGAGAGAACCAATCCAAGAATCGATGGCTTAGATCCAAATCCATTGTCTCTAGGCTGCGATACAAGAAACGGATTGCACGTCCTAAGCTCGGTGCGATAGCGGCCGGGGCTATCTTACAGCACTCCGTGAGAACCGAGTGGTAGTAAACCAGTTTGTGCTCGGGAGACGGCAGCTGGAATAGTTGAGAAAACACGGCGTCCACAGCAACATCCTCGGGTTTCCAGAGATTGATGTCTCCCGGTAGATCGCGCAGCCTATCAAAAGGAGTCGCCCGCTTCACGAAGGTATGTGGAGTAAAATAGCAGTCGACATCAATCAAGAACTTCGCCGTCGCAATGCGGTTGAAATCAAGAATGTTGATGGTGTCGACAAGGGCATCACGCATCAAGGAAGATGCGATATCTGAAGTAGGAGGGACTGTTTCCATGTCTTGATTAGCGTACACGGAAAGGTACGCCTCAGGGAAAATTGCCCTTGTTCCATTCTTCACCGGACTCGGAACGGTGATCTGAGGGAATGCATGCTTTGGCTCGTTTTCATAAGTCTTCGGCTCTGCGCCATTTTCTTGCGATTCTTGCCCCTCTTGTGCTTCCTCGGGCTCTTGTGCATTCAATGCCTCTAGCGCTCCTCTCCATGGCCTAGGAAGACACGCGAGCTCCCAGCCCCGGCCGGACTCTTTTTGTAATTGATTCTGGAGTAGGCTGATAACGCTTGGCGTAGCAATTGGCTTGCCGTTCTCAAGGCCGAATGGATTAACCAGGTCCACAAGAGTATGAGGGGTGGAAGCAATAATATCGGTCTTCTCCAGAAGTGCGGTGGCCTGGGACTCGAAACCGGCTGCTGGGGAGGCCATTATGTAGGGAATGGTGAAAAGGATAATTTTCACCAGCTCCAGACCGATCAACTGTATGCGCATCGTTAGCGAACCTGCGACCCTTTCGGACTTTCGGTTTATCGGCGTCGCTTACATCTTCCGAGGATGCTGTTTGAAGGTCGACAGCGCGCGCAAAGAGCTCCTCCAGTACCGGGAAGATGCCATCCCCTTCGAAGACACATTGGAGACACCCCAGGAACCGCAGAAGAAGCTTAACCTCGCGCCACGCGCCAGCGTCAATGTACTTCTGCAAGCACACGCCTGACCTACTGAGAACGTCGGACACGAGCTCGGATTTCTGGAAATTTGCGATGAGAACGGTCGCGGCGACGAAGGGGATCTTTAGCGGCTGCTCCAAAACACTAGTATAATAGCAACACCGTCAGCTCCAAGCTCGGCGGGGGTTCAAACAGGCCAAAAGGGGGGGCAGCCAAGTCATGCAAGCCATACAGGTCAAGCGCAATGTCGACAAAGGAGTTCCTAAACTCCTGATCTTCGTAGTTATCCGCCACACTTTTTGCGATGCTCACAGCGTCGTCTTCTGCTCGTCTGGCAGCCTAAAGAACGTTCGCAGTGAGTGCCGGCACTTGCCACACTTGATCGAGTTTTTGGAAGAGGGTATTCGTACAGATTCAGCGATCGTAAGCAATTGCCTCCGGACCTTGACAATAAGCGGTTCCTCGTATCGACGCCTCTGGCGGCGGTCATAGTCATCATCTTCTGCATATCCCAAGAAATTGTTAATGGAGAGTGGCCACGAGAGAAGCTCCAGCTAGAAATCAAAGGCGGGGTCTGGGGGCATGGTAGCAATTGGCAAGCAAGCAATTGCAGCCAAGGACTCGACCACAGCGGAATTGCATGTTTACTGACCTCTGTAGCGCCTCTTACGCCCACCACCCCTGGGGCCATGAGGTCGGCGTTCGTAGTCGGCCATCGCTAGCGGGCCTTATGTCCACACGAAATGTCTCGCGCAACGACTGCTTCTGGGTAGAATAAAGAGCCAAGCCAAGCTGTAGACAGCACAGCTTCTAAGGGCGGCAGCAGCGAGGAGCTCTATATCGGTAATGCCGTCGCGATAGGAAGGGCATGTGTCTAAGAAGCAAAACATCAATAGTGCTCAGCTGCTGATCGGGACTCGGGATCCTCCGTCCCGCTGATTATCTAACCATGTTTCTTCTGTCTTCACAACCAGAGCTCCAGTGGAGCCGTGGAAATTGTGCTGCGTTCAGCGAGGACTCAACTACTACTATTTGATACATACTACTTAATAAGAAGGTTCAAGCTGTGTCATCTATGTCACAGCTACGGTGGCTGAAGAACATTTGAAATCAAGTAATACCCATACGCGTATATGCTACCCCAGTAAAACACAAGAGCATACTTGTAACCCATAGAAAACTGCAAGCATGCAAGCCAGAAGAAAATCAAACGAAGAGAAGATACAGAATGCTGTGGTTATACACAGTACGAGAACGAGAGTATCCAGGCAATGTTCTTTGGGGCCTCTAGGATAAACGACTAAGAACAGCAGCAAGCAGGTAAATAGGTGAATCGTCTGGATAGCTTCATGGCCGTCGACGCCAAGTGTATGAGGCTTAGAAAAGAGGAAAGGGGGCGGACTGGAGAGGTGAGGGTAGAGGTAAGAGGGAGGAACCACGAGAATATGAGAACGGAGACAAAGAGATATAAATTCACAGCAAAACAGCATGAACGGGGCTTCTAGCGCGGCAAGTCGGGAAAGAAGACCTCCAATACCTATATTCAAGCACACTGACAGGCACACGGTATGGCGCATCCAAACAAAGAAATCCTCAAAGATATCTGACGCATTTGTAGGATATTCATCTTTCCGCCCTTGTGAATAAACTTGCGGCAATTTGTGAACAGAGCCCGTTCGATCGAGATATGAAGCTATGCAGACTTGATCCCGGAAGGCAGACTCACGCAATAAGGGTATCACTTTTTAACCTCCCAAGAGCTGTCTCAGACACCTCAGTAACTCCAGGCTATACCATCCCGTCAACCCCTTTGCGTGAAACGGTCATGATCCACTAAAACCTCCCACTCTTAAGAACTTTTTGTGGTCGTCAAGAGTCACAATTCCCTCTGCTCCATCTAGTTTCCCAGAGATCCCGGCATACCTATCTCCCTCTCCCTCTCCATGGAAACCTTTCTTATTCTTTTCATTGCTTTTTTTCCCTTTCCCTTTTTTTTTTTGGTAATATCTTGTTTTGTTTTCTTCCATTAACTTCCTTTCTCCTGCTCATGCTCACGTTTCACCCTGTCTTTCAGTATTCTGCCATACAGAAGCCAGCTCCCGGATGCCCCAGCCTATGGATTAGGTCTACAGATTCGAATAAACCTTTCCCAGTTCAAGAACCGCCTGATGCATGAAGATAAGCTCGTAGGGCATGACATCAAATTTCCGCAATCAGGTGCAAATATGTTTGCACACGTAAGGGCGTGTAGTTCGTCAGATTTGCACGAGTTGACTCAGTCAAGACGCGCTATCATTTCTTCCTTCGTAAGAGGCTTGAAGTTGGTGATATCTAACCCGCGAGCCTCAAGTGCAGGACGTGCATGAGGGGGAATCAGCCGGCTGTTCATTGCGGGCGCGATAGAAAGTTCTATGACAGTGTCAAGTCGTCAGTATGGGGGGCAACCAATACAAGTGGTTTTCAAAGAGACCGACCATGCCTGGAGAAGTCGAACAGATTAGGGAGCTCCCTCGTGGAGCCGTTCGGGTGCCGCGAGTCGGGCAACCGGGTGTTAGGATCCCGAAGTTCGTCGAAGAATGGATGGCACATCGCTTCAATTGCTGACAGACGTTGCGTCGGTGTGTATTCCAGCAGGGCGGAGATTAAATCGATGGCCTCATGGGGGGCCCTCCGGAAGACCTGATGGACATCAGCATTTTTCGCTCGAAATTGTTTCCGCTAAGGGATCCTACCTTATTGAAGGGGTGTGGCTTGATCTGCGGGAACTTGTGTTCCATGTAGTTCGGGTTCATGGTGCGAATCTGCTCCCGCGTCGGGGTGCCCAGGACCTTGATGATCTCCACGAGCTGGTCGATTCCGGATTCTCCTGGGAAGAGTGGTTGTCCTAGCATCAACTCGGCCATCACGCAACCAGTAGACCATACGTCTGATGTATATTAGTACATACGCAGAGCCCCTGGGTTGAATTTGAGAGAAATACCAATTTTCGTGGTGTAGTTTGTTGCGCCGAAAATCAACTCAGGTGCGCGGTAGTAGCGGGAGCAAATGTATGAAACATTAGGCTCATTCTCGACAAGAATCTTGGCGGATCCAAAGTCACACAGCTTCAGAATACCGGTGTTCGGGTCGAGCAGCAGATTTTGAGGTTTGATGTCACGATGGCAGATTCCCTGCGAGTGAATGTAGGCCAGAGAACGGAAAAGTTGGTAGATGTAGAGCTTGACTTCCAGCATCGGCATGGTTGTCTTCAACTTGTTGAAATAACGCGAGGCCCGATACACCGTCTCTGGTACATATTCGAGGACGAGGTTCAAGTACACTTCGTCTTTCTATGATGTTTCCATGGCATGGTCAGCAGACAAGTAGGTAAAAGGACGAGTAAGACGGGTTGCAGCATGAACTGAGGGGAAGCAAGAGGAAGGCAAGCGGTGTTGAAAAAGAGAGCGACATACCCTTTCTCCGTTAGAGTAGTAAAATGCCTTGAGTTCTACGATATTCGGGTGGCGCACGATCCGCATGATCTGAAGTTCACGATTCTGAGGGGGAGGGGGGTACTGTTAGCGACCGGGTAGGCGATGACGAGCATTGGTGGCCTAGCATACCTTGAACCGTTTGTCCTGGAGAACCCTTTTGATTGCAGCATCTTCGCCGCTGGGCATCATCTTCGTTTGGAAGACGACGCCAAAGGATCCATTGCCAACGATTTTACATTGTGAATAGGAGATCTCCTTGGTTTCTCCCGTAAGTCCATCCTGGACTTTCTCGCGGACGACTTCTATATGATCGCAAACAAGAAGGAAAAGGTTAGCAATCGAGTCCAGCAGATGGGCTCAGCAACAATTGCGTAAAGAACGGCACGTCTCTTACCACCCATGCGCAGACTCGAGAAGACCCCAGGTCTATTCTGTGACATCACGGACGGCTAGTGGGGACAACACCGGGCGGCAACGTGGGCGATGCTATCGAGAATAAGGAGGGCTGGACTTCAACAGCGGATGTCGGGAAGGGACGCAAAAGTAAGGCGTGAGGTCCGTTTTGGGCAGACTGTACTCGGTGGAGCACTAGTTGGGAGGGGTGCTCTGGATGGGCGGAATATCCGAACGGTGGATGTTGAGTGGAGGTGCGCGTGAGATGAAAGGTTGAGAAGCAGGCGGGCGAATCGTAGAAGGGAAGGCTCAGACCAAGGGGACCAATGGACTTGGGGAGCGTGCCAAGAGTTGCAGACACAAGACCTGAGCAATCAACGCCCCAAAGATTGTGAAGCGGGTTTCTTTAGATGAGGGAGGGGGGGGTTGGTGTGGGCAGCGGTGGGTGGTGGAGGGGAGGAGGGTTTGGATAGAAGGAACAAATGTTTTCTCGAAGAGAAGGAGAAAAAAATAAAATAGAAAGGAAAAGAGAAAAGAGAAAAAAGTGAAGTTATGTGTGAAAGAACCAGCAGCAGTAGCAAGTAGCAGTTTAGTAGTAAAGAGTACCGAACCGCAGCTGATTCGAGGAGGGAGGAGTGTAAAGTGTAGGTATTGAAATTCACGCCTCAGCAGAAGTGTGGCAGTGGAATTTCAAGGAAAGGCGGGTAAAATAAGTAAGTGTAGGTAAGAGAAAGCTCAGGCTCTCAAAAGGGAGGGATGGTCGGTCGGAGGAGAAGGAAGTGGGAAGAGAGGATAGTAAGAGAGGAGAGACTTGAGCAGGTGACGTTGATGGAACGACGAAGCCCGAACACGCGAGGGCTGCAGGAACGCGGGAATAAAGCACCGGGAGGAGAGGAAGAAGGCAAGGAACACACGAGCCAACTCCGGGCAAATAAGAGATATCAGTAAGAATAGTAATAGACGTAGTTGACCAGGGAGGCCAGTAAGTAGAATAAAAATAAAAAAAAAGGTTAAAGGGGGGGGGGAGGGAAAAAAAAAGAGAGGGACCTCTCTTTCAGAGAAGTAATAATGCTAATAATGAAATCAATGAATCAGGAGCACACGGGCGCTTTTCTGACTCTTGGAGGAAGATACCAATACCAAAAGGAGGGAGAAGATTACTAGCATCCGATCAAAAACCAGCCTGTCTCAATATGTGGTTAAGTTGTTACTGTTCTCTCCCTGTCTGTTACTAGTCCGTTAGGCCCCAGAAGGCAACGTTTGGGTTTGGCTTGGGGTGGAGGAGGAGGGGAGGAGGAGGGGGGCGGGAGTGGTTCAACTTACAGCAGTTAGTAACTTTACCTTTCCCGAAAGAAAGAAAGCCTGGGTAACAACCGATGGGCACGGAGCTATGGCAGTGTGTGGAGAGGCAACAGAGATGTGGATGATGACGGTTGGGATTATTGGTACAGAGAACCAGAGGGATTGCTGTTTATGGCCGCCGGCATAAGAATAACCATTCTTTACACAGTAGCGTTCGTCCTCGAGTAGAGATAGTAGTATTCCCGTTCGAACAATAATGCCCCAGTTGGACTAATAATAAGGAGAGCACTTATACCTATAACCCACCAGCCTAGTCAAGAGTACCCCATATAAAGCTATAGGTATCTTAGCACTCTACTCCATTTCCTTCATTTTTAATCTGATTTTATTTTTTAATTATCTTGTTTTTATTATCCCATTCCATTACGGCAACTGGTAGCTAATGATGAAACTCCATAGGCATGAGGGTATATTGTGGGCTCGGCCCCGGAGGGGCAAGAAAATTAAATAGCCAGAATAAAAGAAAATGGAAAATCAAAAATTAAGGGAACTATTGTAGAAAAGGGAAAAAGATGAGAGACAGAGAGAGCGGCGTAATGAATGGAAATAATGAGTCTGTATACCTAAGTATTGATACAATACAATACCGGATCGGCCGCTCTCTGCCCCAGGTCTTTGCGTCTGGCTATGACGCTATTGCCCTTACCGGAAGCAAGGTACCTGGGTACCGCTAGTAGATAGGCGGTGCGATGCTACTTCTGCCCATCTTAGATGATGCCGCTAAGATATGTCACTATATACACATTTGATGAGGTTTTCTACGTATGATGGTCACTTTCTAGATTCTATATCCTGTACAGTGAAATTGTTCTTGCTCCGCTCCCCACCAAGTGACACACCCCTGCCTGTCAATCGAGAAATAATTGATTGGTATATGTCCCACTTCAAGATTAGAAAAGGAGGCATTTTTGGGTCCGCGGCTGGCGTCATTCCTAGGCCGAATATGAAACGGAACGGTAGGCCCAGAAGTATACAGTAGATAAAACACGAATATCATCAAACCAAGTTACATCTGATGGTAGAGTTGTAACTTGAGCAGATCAGTAGGTCGAAAATAATGATGACGGACCTGAAGTGGAACCATCCAGATTGGGCGGGAGGAAGACAGCTGCTGCTGGGATTGAGAGAATGGGGGCCCATTCCTAATGGGCATATGACCTTGGCTCCGAGCGCTTGGGTTCGAGATTTAGCACTAATATTGTCGTTCAATATCTGACTATCTAGTGGTGCTTAAAAACGGGCGAGTGGTGCATCTCCATTCCCGAACACCCTTGGATCGCAAGAGTAATGTTTCTCGTTAGTTATGTTGGGTAGTTAACTCCCCCACCAATGCAAGCAGACCACGCTCGGGATCAATGGCCTTGATTCCTACCATTCCTGGCATCGCATTTTACAGGGGGTGGGCTAGAACAAGACCAGCAAGACCAAATCTTCCTTGTCCCTGCAGTAGAGAAAGGAGGGGTTGGTCAGGAGATCTCCGTAACTAACTAGCAACCACGGCGGTACTTCTGAGTTTGTACGTAAGTGATGGAAGAGAAACCAACGCTCTTCTAGTGCTCGGTGAGTCGCGCGCCTCAACAATCTTTCCCCCCTAACTGGGGACGAGATAACCTATATCGACCTTAGGGGCGTATCTAGTGTATCTTGAAAGTCATATCCGTTGAGCTCAATAGCTAGCTACAACTAGCTCTAGGCTTTGGAGGGATCCAGGCCTTTCAAACCATCTCAGAACTTCTTCCCGCGGCCCGTAGAATGCCGATCGGGAAAGCCAAAGGCGAGCTACAGAAGAGGTGCCTGGATCACTAGTACCTCCCCATCCATGTCATAGCCCGATGAAGATTTCAGACATGGACAGTAAAGTAAGTAGGTCGTGAGGTAGAAGGTCCACTGGGCGGTTCCGGTGACAGGCAGGGTAGTTCTGCCATCATGTGCTGCCATTGGCCCCTGGGTGTCAAGTGACCAGCCGCGATTTTCACTGGAAACCCGTTCATTGGCTACCCGTACTATTGCATACGTATGGTAAATACAGATCAAGCCACCCAACCCAAGAAAAATGACGGAAAACTAGGGTTAAGTGCTAGAGTGCTAAAAGGTAGGATAAGTAGTGCGGAGGAAGGCGGGCGTGTATTCGGTCGCCGCATATTTGACCAGGATCTAGACTTCAACGTATTTGGAGGGCGGGTGGGCTGCTCACCAGGGCCGGCTGCATATGTACTCCTGCTGTACTCTTTACTCTTACTGCGGTCGGATTCGAGGTCGGCTTGGAATCCTCTCGGGAAGACTGGCCATAAACATGTCACCATGCGACTGTTTATGTCCGACGCCACAGGTACAGCAACAAAGGATGCTTGAGCCTATGTCAATACTGCAATGACGTAGCAATAATCACCATCTCAATACGGGATCATAAGGGCATCATGTCTGACCAGTGTCAAAAATAGGCCAATGCATAACGCATGTGTAGAGTTTCAGAGTCTTGGCTCAAGTTCTACGGAGTAGGAAAAGTATACTGCAAACGATCTGGATGCAGTGGGCGATGCCTTGCCCACGTGCATTTTCGCGGTCCATGCTCATCGTGTCCACGCTTGAGTAATAGACCAATACTTGGTAGCCGTTGAGTATTCTTAGTAGTCTATTTACTACATCGTTGAGATTCGTACTTCCTGCAGCGCCTCAACCGAAAATGAAGTACTCCGTCGAGAAGTACTTAACTGTATATATTCGTACTGCATGATGCAATTGCCACTCTGCATTCATCCGAACGGTCTCTTGTAAGCTCAGCTATCGCTTTGCATGAGCATGTTGCTTAGCGGCAATAAACTCTCGTCGGGTTACAAATCTATCGTATTGAAAGCGAATGACATATCACAAATTTACATCATCCAGAAAAAAGAAAGAGTCACGGGATGAGAACAGACTTACACTACTAAGTAACTATCAGAAACGACGCTTCTACAGCCAACCCCACAATGACTGGGGCAAGCGCATATGGTACTAATGATTTATCCACTTAGTACTACTAGGAGCAGCTAATGTTGGGCTTCTTAATATAGTAGCAAGGGTCATTGTAGTTCTGATAGTAAAGGCGATCATGTGAAGCTCATGTTTCACACGTTTAGCTGTCACCGGTAGCTCAAAGAGACAAAATCCTCCGCCTTTTGGAATTTGGCTTTTCCCTCAATACCATATTCCATATTTCTCCTTTTTAGTATTCCGCTTTATAAGGCTTGGCATGTATGCATCTCGATCGTATACGACCGCCCGACATACATGGATTTTCACTCATCGGCTCAACACAACAGTTGTCGGACTATCTAGAAACGCTCTGTGCCGTGTCCTAGCTCCCTTACCTCCTCTATCCTTGCAGCCTGCTTCTTCAGAAACATGAACATAAGTAGGTTGCTTATGAGACTCACAGAGGCATGTCGGGATTGGAAATTGGATATGATTGGACATCTCTCGCATTTGTTTTCTGACTTGTTTCAATAGTAGCTTAACCGTCACTGAACTTTGGGGCGTAAGAATAGCAAGAGCACTTACAGAGAGAACCGGCACGGGAGATTATGAAAACCCCTTGCTGCGCAGACTTGCAAGCGTATCAGCTACTACAGTCAGTAGGTCTCAGCAGACCATGATCCCAGATAACACGACTTGAAAAACTCCTACTTAAGATTGAGAGCATGCCATTCTTGAACCACAACCTTCTCATTTGCCACCTTATCTACATCAACTGGATTTACATGAGGGACTAATTGCAGCCACATACCAAGCTGAGACAGGGAAGGGCTTGAAAAATCTAATGTTCGGAGGCGTCGGGGTAAGCCACTCGGAACTCATCCAGGCGTGTCGTCGAATTAAAGACGAGGTCAGAGTGTATGTTGCATATTGACAAAGAGTAGAAAATGTCAATCATAATGACATTAGGCTCTTGCGCTCATGAGCTGTAAGAGAAGAATGGATGTAGAGGAAGGATAATAGACTAGTCGAGCAATCGGTAGCTGTCCTGCAAACCGAATTCGAGACCACGCACATCCGTTGGGTTCATCATTCTTCTTTATTTATTTTTTCTTTTTCTTTGCGTATCTAGCATCAAACATACATAAGTAGTTTATATGCGGTCTATAGCTCCGGTGACACTGCAGACAGTCTATACATCTCATTGAACTTTGCTGGAAGGTGTGTGTGTGTGTGTGTGTGTGTGTGAGTGAGTGTAAATATAAGCTGAGCATGCACGTACTTGGGAGTAGGTACCCAACAACATACATACCACATGTGATTATCTCTCTGCTGATGCTTGACGTACCTCAAGTTTACGAAATACAGATACAATACCTGGCATTCACACTAACAAGTATCATATAAGAATTGCCCCACATCGACTCAATGGTACCTCAAAAAGGACCAAACTGATTGATGCACATAAGAAATCCTCCTGTGCGTATTTGTGCGCTTGGTGCACCACAGAAACTGGCAGGTTGAGAGTCTGGGAGTGCTGCGTAGGCCTCGAAAAGATATCGATAATTGTCTATAATGAGGCCTAGTTGAATCCAACGTGACTAGCTAAATAAGTTGTTTACAGTCGAAGGGTCAGGTGATTGTTAAGAAACGATACGACAAAAAGATCTACCGAACCATGACTTTGTGAAATTCAGGTGCAGGCAATTTTGTTCATATGCTTTGGATTAGGCTCTACTAGATACAGCCTCACCCTGCCACTGTGCATACCATCCGACATACCATTCCCATCAACAAGAGGAGACAGGCAATAATACCATGGCTAACAGTTCCTACGAATCATGAAACATTATTAATATGTAGGGCTCTTCTTTTAGGGCCATTGCAATCATGAGGTGGGTTACCTCATTCACTGATCCTTGGCTCTCGTTTTCAGAGTTTGGCCCGGTCGGCAGGCAGCTCAAAGGCATGCTGCTTGGTTACTGCGGATCGCCGGGGGGCCACACAGCGTCAGCAGATCACATTCAACTGGCTCAAGTTGTTGGTGATTTTCTTTCTTTTCTTTTCTTTTTTTTAAACCCCGAGTTACTCTCAGGTGACTGCAGCTTTGCTGTCTCGGTGAGGCAGCTCATGTAACAACCATTGGCCACCAAATGGTCAATTCTACCACTGCTTCAGATATCCCTCCATAGTTCATGATGTGATTTTCGTGAAACAGACTAGGGGCCCTGCTGGGACACAAGTGATAGTTACCGAGCTCTTAATTAGTTCAGACTCAATGATAGTTTACTATTTGATAATGATGAGGACTACTGTAGGCCAACAAGCAGGGGTAGAACGGTAGACCAGTAAAATGGATGACATCGATGGCTTTGTTTTCATCATTGTTGTTTCGGAAAGGCCTGCTGCAATTTATGCTTTACTTCCTCGGTCCTACTATGTAGGCTGAGAGCCTGTTATGTCCGCAACGTTGAAACCCTACTACTAAGGTACAAATTGGCAGGACTATATCACTCACAGCGTTGATATATGTGAGCATTTGGTGTCCACCACTACGACTAGTACATTTCTCAATACCATCAAGGCTTGTTTCTCGGAAAAGACAACCCTGTAGATGTTCGGCAGGAGGATCAAAGAAATGTGCCTGCCTTAACCGAGATCAACATCATAACCAGCCCAGCCCCCCCTCCCCCCAAAAGTATCCGAGGTGCGTTTTCGGCCATCTCCAAGGCTGAGCCAATAGCGGTAGCTCGGCACTTCGTTTACTTAGTATCGTCCAGGGCATGAACCCAGCTCTACTGTGAACCAAAGGACGGATGTACCTGATCTTATCACAGAAGTCAAACCCTGCCTTGGCCATCTTGTCCATGAAACCTGGCCCTATAGCAACACCGCATTTGTGTCTCTCAAGAGTCAAGATTGCTTCCGTATTTTGTGTCATCTTGGCTATTGCCCTTCACGGTAGACTTTGGGATGAATTCAGCCGCGGAAACCTGTTCCTTGTGTCCCGAGATGCCTCTGTGTCAGCCAGATCAAGTGTCCAATAAGACCAGGGGAGTAAGTTAGGTGTCTCTCTCCCTAGTCTCTCTTTGAGCGTGAGAGTTACTTGGGCGGCCATTGAAGGACAATCACAAGAGCAGGAAAAGTGGAAACAAGGGAACATGATCCAATGACCACCACTGTTATTGAAATCAACAATGAAGAACCCCCAAGAAACCCACCACACAAGTAGGTCCAGCACTAAGGACGAAGAGCGAAAGGGAGGGATGGGGGGGAAAGAGAGTGCGAGCGAGCGAGATAATTTCATGTCCAACCGAAGAGATAGGGAATGATGTCACCGTGGGGCAACTGTTGGCCTTCTTTCCGCCAGCAAAGGGTCATCGTGAACCTTCAACCATGGGTTTCTCCTCGCATTTAGACCCAAGGATTGCCACCAGCACGAGGCCCAACCAGTTGGGGGATTTTGTGAGGCCTGATGAGCGAATCGGACCTTGGTGGGTAGTAGGACCATGTAACCGGGTCTGATTCCGTCATTTAATCCTTTCCAGATCTCGAGCTAGGAAAAGGTGGAAGGATAGGACACTTGTAGGTAAAAGTAGATAGCATGGAGGCTAAAATAGCTGCTACATTGGGGGAGTAGGCAGCACTGGAGTCTCCAGAGTGAGGAGAGACCGGGGGGAAAAAGCGCAGTAGTGCAAGACGTGTGTGCCATCGGACGGGATTGAAATTACATGGGCTAATGACCGGGCACGACGGCTCTACTTCCTTTCCGACTCTCCGTGACGAATGTAAATCGTCTAGATTATCTTGATATATTCCATGTAGTATCATCTTTAATGGGCCTTAGACTCGCAGAAAAAAAAAAAAAAATAAAGAATCTGCAAGGCAGTTGACCCTGTAGGTATATTCCCGTTTTCTATTATACTTTACAGTAAAGAGATGCTTGCATTAGGTCGTGTAATATTCCACTCTTGATGGACAACGAAGGCTCCATACCTAGTACTTACTACCCACGAAGTCCCTCTAGAGTCTAGACACTCATTGAGGATTTAGTCTACTCGGGGCACAATGCCATCACCAGGCACAACAGTAACTAAAATACTGTATCATCCACCAAAAGCCAAGGTTGCCCTACTACGTATCTAACAGTGTTTAGTATCCCTCGAAGTCACCTGCCCAACACAGCTTATAACGATGGAGTAAGAGAAAATGGAGTCCCCTCACACTAACTACGGAGTAAAGGTGGAGAATACTAACCTGCGTGCCTCCAATTCCCAACTAATCCACTAGTCCAGAATATTGCCTAATTACAGCCAGATCATAATTATAGAGAACCCACCAGATTCCCACTTAAGCGTGACACTATCATCCCAGTTTGGCCCCTGCTGCTCCGTAGGAAAAAGGAAGGGTAAAAAAAGGAATGGTGTGTTTGGGTCAAACAGACGACCACGCTATCTTTTTAGCGTCCAAGACGGTGTCTTTGCTGTAGCGGGCCAGAGAGTGAGAGAGACTGAGTTGAGTTGAGTATACTGTTTTTGGTAATGGGCTGGAGAAGTGAATGGATCCTTTATCCTTGTATCTGCGTAGCATTATCTAGATATGGTAGTTTTGTTACATGAATGGTCGTTGCTCAACCCCCAAGAGGTATATTTACTTGACAGTTCATATTTATTCATCAGCTTTCCTTCTTTAGTTGTGGCTCTGATTGACAACCAACTATCTGTTTAATCATCGTGATCATGGTTCTGGACTCCTTAGTCCTCCGCTGCCCTTCCTTTCCCACTTTTCCTGTCTGACTGCTAAATCACTTCTTTGTTTCTCTGTCGTCCGGGTACTATTTTGATCGTCTGATCTGGCAGTCACTTCATCGAGCTACAACTATTGGCAATAACCTTCGTGTAGCAGTCACGAGGTGTCAAGTGGTTAGGGATGATCAGAGCGTGCAAAGGTCATGCTCGTGGAGATATTTTCGCTACATGTTCATAGCGCAAAAGTGACCGCTATTATTGTTGGGAGAGATATGTTGGCGCAGAATACAGGTATTGCCAGGAGACATCTCGAGAACCCTCGTTCGGCAATGACATACGAGATGAGGGAAGGTGCTCCCGATGCAGCGTCGGCTATGTCCCGTGAAATCGATAAAATCTTGCTCTTACTCCATTCGCTACAAAAGGTCTTTGGCTAACGCAGGTGACCCTGATGAATCACCCGGGTCCTTCAGCGACGCAAGGAGTCCATCCCATCACAGAGTCCGTCACTCTCACTTCGATTTTCCATGTCATAAGAAGCAGAACGTGTTTTACATTGCCCCATCTATGATGCGTTAAGGATAAAAAACAAACACCGCAACAACTTTCCGCAGATGATGCTTCCATGCATGCCTAGCAGTCATGTCCATCGGCCAAAGGTTGCCGTCGAGATAAAAATGATAAGAAAAAGTAGAACAGCGGGGGAAGAAAAAAAGAGACAGGGGTACATTCATAGATGAAGGCATAGACAAAATCGAAATGATATCTCGACTGGACCGAAGATGGATCTATACAAAACTTGGTTCCGTGGCGCCAAACGACTGCCTCCCTGGACCAGCAAACCGCATTCGTGGGGATAACCGATGTGATACACCATCGTCCAAACATGCACATGGAGAGAGAAGAGCTACTAAAACAAATAGTGAAAAAGGTATAAGCCGAGGGCGGATGCAGAGCAATAGCTTCTGTCCTCCCACTTTCAGGTGGGCCCCATTAGCCCCAGCTGCACGTCAGTGCGTGCTTAGAAGGGAGGAGGGACCATGTCCTCAGGGCTCATCTTCTCTTGCTGCTCCATCAGTTCCTCGCCCGCGATCTCAAGGGAAACAGCAAGACCGAGCTTGGCCGTTTGCTACAAAGAGAACAACATGTTAGTGACTAATTATCCACCTGGAATGAAGGGACACTGCAGGAAGTGAAGCTCACCTTGGCCTGATCGATCTCACCGGCAAAAGTAAGAGCGATGGGCATAGCTATCCGCTTCTCCAAAAGGCAGCTGACCTTTCCGGTGCTGTCGACCTGAGCACGGAAAGTGGAAGCACGGAAGTCGTACTTGGCGCCAATGGCAGTGGTGCCGTCACGGCTGGGACCACCCATGAGAGCAGCAGCAGCGTTAGGAGCGAACTGGAGGTTCATGTCAACACCAGCCTCAACACGCTCGGAGAGCTTCTTCCAGTAGGAGGCGGTGATGACTCCCTGAGCCTGCAGCTGAGCACTGGCAATCCAGTCGGCGGTCTTGTAGCGGGCACCGTAGGAGAGAGCAGATTCGGGACGAGCGTTCATGGCCTGGCGCTGCCAGATAGCCTCGAAACCAAGAGCCAGGTTGGGAGTAACAGACTGGAGATAGCTTCCGACGAAGATACCGGTAAGACCGCCCTCCAAGTAAGAGGGGTTGAAAGCCTTGAGAGACGCGGAGAAATCGTCGCCGGTGTAGTCATTATCAAGCTGCATCAAACCCTGGCCACCGGGCATGATCTGAGTGTTGGTCTTGGTGACAAACTTGGGGGTCCAACGGTAGTTGCCGACAGCAGCGAGACCTCCATCGCTTCCGAGGTTGCCTTGCATGAAGACCTAAAGTCCCAACGAGAGAAATTGTTAGCCATCTACACATAGTATATATTCAGAGGTAACATATAATCATTTCACCTTACCTTAGGACTTCCGTACATGGCGGAGAAGTTGTATGGGGGCATGTTGCCGGATCCGCCCATGGAGAAAGCATGCGACACACGGAACAGAGGAGACATGCCGAAAACCTTGGTCAGGTCCGCCCGGAGACCGGTGAACATGAAGTTGGACAGCAGGACATCCTTCTGCACCTCCCGGGAGATGTTATCCAGGGTGCCAGGGTTGGGAAGGCCGAGGGCGGCCCTGCGCTCGGAGAACGAGGTGTATGCATCCTTGAAGGCCGCGGCCACGGAATTGTCCGTGAGGAAGGAAGGCAAAGCTAGAGAGTCGGACATTATGAAGTCTGATGAGATATTAAAGGTCGTTATACAGGACGGGAGAGGAACGGAAGATGATCGTTATACGCGGTTCGTCCTTGTTGGGAGGAGGAAAGAGGAAAAGAGAAGAGACCTCGTTGAGACCAGCCCGGAAATTGAACCTGGAAAGGCGAAGAGCAACGTGAGGAATAACACGACGCTCTTGCTAATTGAGGAGTGAAGGTTGTGTCCGACCTGCTCTGGGGGATTGAGAGGAGGGAGGTTGAACACCAGGGCAGATGGATTGGGGGAGGGAGATGGATGAGATGGTGATGGGGAAGTTCAGTTTCCAGGCGTTCTTTCGACTGCCAGAGCTTTCGGCTTTGAAAAAAGTGACTGGCGCCTTTCCGCCCCGGCTGCGCTGGGCCGTCGCTGTGCTGCGCCGTAGTCACTGACTCCCTCAATGTAGTTTAGCCCGCTTCGGGCTGCGCCGGGATTGGGATCTTTAGTTTGGCCGACGATGATATAATCCTCGAAGCTATCTAACTAGTTAACTAACTAGTTCATCTCTCTCGATTTCGTGAAGAAGAGAAGAAGAAGAAGAAGAAAAAAGCAGAGGTCTCACGGATCCTATATCATATTTCTCGGAAATTTCTTGTGCTCAAATTGTCTCGTCTCGACTTGGTCACAAACCCTTCCTATCTCTCTCTCTCTTTTCTTTTCTCGGAGACGAGCAACCAATCGGGTGTGGATCGGTCTATAGTTTATACCACCGACGGTGTACAGCTCTAGTACACTACTAACTAAGTACTACTCACTACTTGGTAGTCAGGTAGTCACTAACTTACTGACAGTTACAACAACTTGATTAGTCTTTGCTGCCGCCCGATTGGGCTGTCTTACTTTTTGTTCCCTGAGAGTGTCTCTTTGCAAAAAGCAGTACTTATTACTTCTACTACCTAATCTTCCGTCATTACTGGGACTTGCTTTTGTGCGGGGATGTGCTGAGCGCCTTCCTTCGTCTCTATTGCTCTCTACCGATACCCCTCGTTAGCCCAGCCCAAGCTTGACTCTACTATTCTTCCTTCTCCCCGAACTACCCCATCCCATCCCATCTCGCCATTATTATCATTACCGCCATGGATACGTTACTGTAAGCTCGATTCAGTCCTTCCATCCTCAATATGTTTCGCTTCTTCTCCGGATCGTCGTGCTGGGTCCGGAGTACTTGCGATACTGCTGAACCTTTCCCGATTATCGATCCCACTTGCTCTAACGTACTCTTAGAACCGCGGATATCGTCGCCAACTCCCCGCGATTCCGGCGCAAGTCGTCGACTTTCGTCGATGCAATTCACGACCTGCCTGAAAAGGCCGATTTGGCTCCCGCGCAGCTCTACAGCACCGAATCCGGCCGACTCTTCCATTCCGGCCGCATTGTCATCATCACGGTAGGATTACCGGCAAGAGGCAAGACGTTCGTTTGACCAGACCCATTTGTCATTGGTCCACACCGACTCATTAACCTTTGGTCAGGCATATGTCGGTCGCTCTGGCACGTTACCTTCGCTGGTAAGTACACCATCCGGCTCATGGCTGTATCGCTGGCAGATCCGAATTGACATCATCGCAGGTTAGGCGTCAAGACAAGAATATTCCACCTCGGCGATTATCGACGTGCTACCATCCCCTACGGCCAAGATATCCCTGATGACTACTTCTTTGTCAACGGTACGCGATGGCCTCTTATATCTACCCAGACGTACCTTGGCCGGCCTCAGTGGCTGATAACTTTAATCTTAACAACCTCGCTTGCTAACTGAACATGTAGCGTCGGCTTCGTCTGTGCTCCTAAGGCAGAAGATTGTGAAGCGATGTCGCGAAGATATATACCACTTCTTGAATCATGAGAATGGGCAGATAGCGATATACGATGCAGTCAATCCCATCGCTTCGGGACGACGGTCACTCGCCAAGGAATTCTCCAAGCATGATATAGAGGTACTCGAAATCGGCCTACCCTTAATATTATACACTTGCTAATTCTGCCCTCACGGAAATCCAGACTCTGTTCATTGAATCGTGGTGTGACGATGAACGTATAATCGAGGAGAATGTCCGACGGGTCAAGATATCCTCACCTGACGTACGTATACCTACCATGGAACCCCGATTCTATCGCGCATACTCACCCTTGGCAGTACGTAGGGTGGTCTTCAGAAGACGCGGTCAAACATTATTTGACTAGGATAGCTGCCCGTATCCCCCAATTCCAGACTATGGAGGAGACGGACCTCAATTACATCAAGGTATCTGCTATATCCTGCATGATGCGGCTTCCCTTTCGCTAATATCTCACCAGATGATCAACGCAGGTGAACGTTTGATTGTAAACAACAAAAGCTTTGGCTATCTCTCTAATCGGATTGTGTTCTACCTCTTGAACCTCCATATCAAATCAAGACACACGTATTTTGCCAGAGTCAGTCTGCCTGTTGCGACGCATATTGAAGGGAGATCTTTAAGTTACTGACGAAAATGTGTGTGACTAGGCCGGCGTTTCACTGGAAGCAGGCTCATACAAAGCGGATGCCTCGCTATCCGAGCAAGGAGAGGAGTACGCCAAAAAGATGACAGAGTGCTTGCTGCAGCACAGGGAGGCTGAAAGACAAGCTATGGCCGATCAAGGGGAGAAAGACTACGAACTAAAGCCGCTGACAGTCTGGACGTCTACGCGACGGAGGACAGTCGAAACCGCCAAGTATCTCCATGAGAAAGGTTACAAAGTACGGCAGCGATCACAAATGAGCCAGTTGAACCCTGGAGTATGCGAGATGATGTCGGAACGGAAAATCCGCCAGGAGTATCCGGACGAGGTGGCGAAGCATGATCTTGACCCCTATCACCATCGTTACCCTCGAGCAGAGGTAGGCTGTGTTCTTGTTTGCGTTTAGTCATGGAGGGTTCCGAAACTGACTATATTGGTAGTCCTATCATGACCTTGCGGTACGGCTGGAGCCTATTATCCTGGAGCTTGAGCGCGAGCAGAATGATCTCTTGATTATCGCGCACGAGAGCGTATTAAGAGTGCTTTATGGATACCTGATGGCATGCAATGCAGCCGACATTCCATTCCTGGAGTTCCCACGGGACGAGATAATTGAAGTGAGGCGATTGTTACAGGTTTAACGGCGTTGAACACCTCAGCTAACTGACTTCTTCAGATAATACCCGAAAGCTATCAGAACGAGGCGCGCCGAATCCACATCCCTGGTCTACCCAAAGAGATCATCCCTGGCTCACCCGAAGACATCAAGATTCCCGTCCCGCCGAGTGGGATGATGACCCCGCTGGCTGGGGGACTTGGCAGCCCAAAGGAAGGCCTCGCAACGCCGCAGAGCGGCCTTCGAACTCCTCGGGAGCCCGAGAGGATCTCACAGCAGCATGTGGAAGATGTTGTCTAGATTCGCATTCCATCTTGTATATAGGACCCCGCGACGGCTTGCCCGTAGGAGTATCGTCGGTACGATTGTGAACGTAGATAGTCATTAGCGCTAGCCCCCATGAAGCGTAGAAACGAAGACAATGTTATCCTTCTGCTGAAGCTCGTAATTCTCCTCGCCTTCGAGCTCCCAATCAGCGTCGTTGATGAGGACCAAGATTCCCGGTCGTCTGGCGCACAAGGTCAGCCTGATCGCGTTGCACTGTATTCCCATGGGATGAGATGGAACGTACACGTTGCCTTCCAAAATGAACAATTCCTGCCTCTGATCCTTCATGTAGTTCTTCACCAGATGACCCAGGAGGTAGCTGATAGTTGGCCGGCTGCCGTCGTCAAGGTGCGAAGGTAGGGTGACGTGGTGTTTGCGCTCGTTGGCAAACAGAATCTCTAGACCTCCTCTGTTTGTGCAAACCAAGCCAAGTCAGTCATGAGGAGAAGCCTGGGGTGATTGCATGATAAGGGTGAGAGCCGAACGTGAACTCAACGGTAATAGCAATGGAACCGGCGCCATCTTTGCCCAGCTCAGGGGCTTCAGGGTTCGTGGCCATCTTATTTATTATTTGTTGAGATGTATAACTAATACCCTAGTAAGGCAAGGTAATGAATTGGGGGGTTGCGCGGGCTCGTCAGGGCTCGTGGACAAGGCGTAGTTATTGCGGCGAGGATTGGAGATGGAGGGGTTGACAAAAGACGGGGTCCGGATTTCTCGCAGCTTATCGATAAGCCGCCCAGTTTGCCGGCACAAAAAGTCGGCTGGCTGTGCGATCCATTCGAACATACATGGTTGGTTGGTGACGAACAAGCCCACCCCCTCACTCTTACTTCCTTCCCTGTCTGTGGCTCCGTTGGCCTGCCTGACCCCCTTCAAGATTAATTAAAAACCAATTGCTCGAACTTCCGACTTAGACGAGCTCTTCATGGTCTCCATCACGACCGAGTACATCAGCGTCGGGGGCAATAGGCATCCCGCCGCCGCTGATTGGGACGTCCAGTCAGGCGTGCTTGCCTTTGGCGCAGATAACAATGTAGCTCTCTGGGATCCTCGAGTAAGTTACTCCTCAAGATCCGCTTGTTTGCTTCCGAGATAGTGTTAGTTTGTGATACTGATGGTGGGGCCTTGGGTGATGATGTAGGAGAGCTCCCAGCGCGGGGTCTATTCGCTTCTTGTCGGCCACACCGACAAGGTCAGTGTCGTTCGGTTCTACACATGCCCTTCCACCGGAGCGAGACTTCTCTTGACTGGCTCTGTTGATCATACGGTCCGGTTATGGCGCCCCGATTCTGAAAACTCCCGCCAATTCGTCCACGCGCATACTTTGGAAGGACATACCGCCTCAGTCAATACCATCGCCATAGCTGAAGGATTAGACATCGTCGCATCGGGCGCAGCTGATGCTACTGTGAAGATATGGAAGATCAGCACGCAGGGGGAGCCGAAGGGCGAGCTCTTGAGATCTATTCCCATGAAGCCACGCTTCTTTCCGTTGGCTTTGGCGTTGACACCGCTTCGAACGGAGTCGAATGACAGACCTGTGGCTCTGGCGGTGGCAGGGACCACAAACATCGTGCAGGTATATGTAGCGGAGAACACTCTTGTCGACCCCCAGTTCAAGCTTGCGGCTGTGCTGTCCGGACACGAGGCGTGGGTGCGCTCCTTGTCTTTCACGTCGGATAAGCAGAGCAAGACGGGTGATCTGCTATTGGCCTCAGCCAGTCAAGACAAGTATGTTCGACTCTGGCGATTCCAACGTGGAGAGGTTACTCAGGCCACGCCGGCGTGTGATGACGATCCTATGCTGGGTGGCTTCGAGCCGACGCTATCGAACAAGGCGCATCAGTTCACCGCGGCGGGGACCAAATACTCTGTTACATTCGAAGCTCTGTTGTTCGGAAACGAGGACTGGATTTACACGACTGCGTGGAACCCTGACCCAGAGCGCCAGCAACTTCTCACTGCTTCGGCAGACAACACATTGACCATTTGGGAACAAGATCCGGTCTCGGGAGTGTGGCTTTCTGCCGAAAGAATGGGAGAGATCAGTGTTCAGAAAGGTTCCACTACAGCTACTGGTAGTACTGGTGGGTTCTGGATTGGTCTTTGGGCCCCAGACGGCAAGCAAGTTGTAAGTCTGGGCCGCACTGGAAGCTGGCGCTCGTGGAAATATGATGCGGAAACCGATATGTGGGCGCAATCCCTGGGTATCTCAGGGCATGTGCGATCCGCCAACGGGGTCCTATGGGAGCCTACTGGAGGATATCTCCTGTCGACAAGTGCGGATCAAACGACACGTCTGCATGCCCAGTGGCTGCGGGATGGACTGAAGTCATGGCATGAATTCTCACGACCTCAGATCCATGGCTACGATTTGAATTGCGTGGACACTCTGGGCCCGGCTCGGTTCGTGTCCGGTGCCGAAGAGAAGCTATTGCGAGTGTTCAATGAGCCTGGGCCTATCGCACAGCTCCTAGAGAAACTTTCTGGCTTCAAACAGACGACCGAAGGAGCACTGCCAGACACAGCACAGATCCCCGTCCTGGGATTGTCGAATCAGGCCCCGGCCGATGATGCGCCTACAGGTGAAGACGGAGTGGAGGGTGAGGAAGTTGGAAAAGCTCAGGCTAATCAGGCGCTTTTGGCGGAATCAAACCAACCGCCATTGGAAGATCAGCTGGCCCGCTACACATTATGGCCAGAGCATGAGAAGCTGTATGGTCACGGATACGAGATCTCAGCCGTGGCCGTCAGCCACGACCGCACACTGATTGCCACCGCTTGCAAGGCGAGTTCGATTGATCATGCTGTGGTGCGTCTGTACGACACGTCGGACTGGCACGAGATTCGTCCATCTCTTGCCGCGCACACCTTGACCATCACTAGTCTCGCTTTCTCCAGTGACGACCAGTACCTTCTGAGTGTCGGGCGTGACCGGCAATGGGCTGTTTATCAACGCAGCGAACAGGACCCCTCTACATTCTCTCTTCTAACTTCGAACCCCAAGGGCCACTCCCGAATGATCCTCGATGCCGCATGGGCACCTGCGTCGGGCAAGCCCATCTTCGCAACCGCTGGCCGGGACAAGTCAGTGAAGCTGTGGCAAATGACCGAAGGCTCTTTTGAGTGTAAATCTACCATCCCTTTGACAACGCCTGTCACTGCACTGGCGTTCCTCCCGCAGATATTCAACAACTCCTTCTTTGTGGCCACGGGCGAGGAAAGCGGGGCAGTGTCTGTCTACCAGGTTGCAGTCGACAGTTTGGAAGCCAGCCATTTGTCGAGTATCAACAAGCTTTCATCACCATCGAAGGTGATCACGCAGCTATCCTGGCGGCCGGTCCCTGATGCAGACACACGGAATTTTGCATTGGCGGTAGCAAGCGAGGACACTTCAACTCGGATATATAGTTTTTCGGACATGGTCTCATAACCAAAAAAGGCCGTATATGTACAGAACCAAAAACTAAACGAGCAGGAAAGGAAAGAAATTATAATACCATGGGTTGAAATTATGCGTAATGTTGAAAGCCCAGACTCCTGAAATGTTGAATATTTCCCTCCCGAGTCTAGAAATCCATCTAGAGACATAAATAGTTGAATGATGCTCCGAACCCCTGCTATGCATATCGAGTGATAGTGGCTGTTGAACCAATCATGTTGAACGATGCCAAAGAAAGTATATAAGAAGAGCAGATGAAACAAATGTAAAGGCGCACTTGCATGTCATCACGCAGCAGGTCGCTTTTCCAAGCCATACCCGCCCAAACCTTCCAGTGTCGGGTAAGTCTTAGCCTGACTAGTAGACCCATTTCTCGGACCCCTAGATTGCAAGTCCTCCTTAAGCCACTTCAGTACGAGCACACCGAGCTGACTATTCTCGGAAGTCTCCTTAACCTCCTCGCGGAACTTCTCAATGGGACCCCACTGACGCACGCTTCCCAAATGCATATGGACAAGGTGAGTAGGCCACAGCGACAAGTTATCCAAGATATGGGTCGCATAAACGATAGTGCAGGGTCTGATCTCGGTCTCACGCTTAAGGAAGGCCAGGAAGTTGGCGCGAGAGAGGAGGTCCAGATCGACGGTGATCTCATCCAGTAGGAGGACTTGCCAGGGTCGGAGGAGGCCCATAGCTAGCTGGACGCGACGACGTTCGCCGTCCGAGACGGCGTGCATGCGCCAGCTGAGATCGATGTCGAGGATGTCGACGAGTTCATCCCGACGGTCAGGGTATGCATTGCCGCCGACGGAGGCGAGGAGGGTAGGGACGTCAATGTCGGTGCGGACGATGTTGTTGAGAACCCATTCCATGCCGAGGTAGGTTACGCCTTCGAGGCCGTCCTTGAAAGGGTCTTTGCCTGCTACGGTGATGGTGTCTGTGGGAGCTAGACGTTTGCCTGCTAGGAGGCGGAGGAGGGTTGTTTTCCCTGCGCCATTGGCTGTTGACAGTGGTTTAGAAGTTAGTTTGGCTGATATGTGCAGCAGCAGCAGTGATATTGGACATACCTCCGATAAGTAGGGTTCGACTGCCGGCGGGGGCCTGAAGATTGACATCGGTCAAGCCCGGAGAACCATCGGGGAACTGGAAGGATAGGTTCTTGACCTCAATTGAGGGGGAAGGGGCGTTATTGTCTGTCATGGCGAGAGATGCAAAGAGGGCAGAAAAAGATGAGGGGTAAGTCCAGTTGATAGATAGTAGGATAGCAGACTGCTCTTATCTAACTAGTAGTGCGGGTCACTCCGGTCTATGTCGTCGTAGATATTTATTGACGGTCCAAACGAGAATCTATTATTGAAAGGAAGGGAATAAAGTCTGTGCGAAGTGTAATAAGATTCAGGGAGAGAAGAAAAAGGAAGAAGAAGAGGAATTGGAGGAGCAGCGATAAGACCCGATGAGGTAATAATGGATTGCGATGGCGGGGGAATTTGCGCCGGGAATTTTTCCAGAGCCGCACCGCCAGAATTACCTCCCTTCGAGCCCATCAGCTCGCGGTCTTCTTTGCCAAATGCATTTGTCGAGGCAAAGATGCTAATTCGGCCCTATTTCAATTTCCTCTCATGCAACCATTCCTCCGACGCTTTATGTCTCTCAAACGCTCCTCCGTTATGAAGCCGCTCATCGCTGTCGTCGGTGCCACGGGCACGGGCAAATCAAAGGTGAGAGCGTTTACTCCGCCAGGATCTTGGGATTGTCTTTTTTTCTTTTGAGACATTGCTTTACTGACGGTTGTAGTTAGCTTGCAGTGGACCTAGCCTCGCGATTTAACGGGGAGATCATCAATGGCGATGCCATGCAAATGTATCGCGGTCTCCCTATCATCACCAACCAGATCCCCGTCGAAGAGCGAAACGGTGTCCCGCACCACCTGATTAGCTGTGTTGAGCTGGATGAACAGCCATGGTTCGTGGGCAGATTCAGAAGCGAAAGTCTCCGACTCATTGACGATATTCACGCCAGAGGGAAAACTCCCGTCCTGGTCGGCGGTACCCATTACTATACACAAGCCGTCCTGTTTAAGGATCAGCTACTTGGCGAGGATGCCACCGCAGACGATGTGCCGGAGGAAGCGGAAGATCGATTGACGGAAGATAACGACCCGAAGTCTTCGACTAAATGGCCCATTCTCGACGCTCCTACTGAGGTGGTTCTGCAGAAGCTGAGAGAAGTCGATCCAATCATGGCGGATCGATGGCATCCGAATGAAGCACGCAAAATCCGCCGCTCCCTAGAGATCTATTTCCAGACCGGCAGGCCCGCGTCGGAGATCTACGCGGAGCAACAGCGGACGAAGCAGGCAGCCCTGACTCGGGATGACTCCCTTACGGGTGCCGGCCACTTGCGATTCCCGACGATGATATTTTGGGTGCACTCGGAGAAGGAGACGCTCAACACGCGGCTGGACAAGCGGGTGGATGCAATGCTAGAGCAAGGGCTAATGACAGAAGCCAGGCAGATGTCGGATTACCTCCAGGAAAAGAAAGCCCAGGGCGTTTTCGTTGACCAGAGCCGCGGTGTATGGGTGTCTATCGGATACAAAGAGCTAGCACCCTATCTCGAAGCACTACATGCAGGCTCGGTGGATGAGGCCGAGCTAGAGAACCTCAAGAAATCTGGCGTTGAGTCGATCAAGACTGCAACGCGGCAGTATGCCATGTCTCAAATCAAATGGATCAGAAACAAGTTATGGCAGGCCCTTGCAGACGCAAGCTCGACCAATCGCCTCTACCCCCTTGACAGCACCAATGTCGACGCATGGGAACAGAATATTACCGAGCCGTCCGAACGTCTTGTCCGCGCTCTGCTGGAAGACGAACCCACTCCCGACCCGAAATCACTGTCAGAACTCGCAAGGACCGTCTTAGGCGCCAAGGAGTCGCAGCCGCAGAAAGAGTCGGGATCCGTCACCAAGTGCAGGACTTGTGACATCTGCCACAAGACCATGATGGGCGATGAGCAATGGCAAATACACATCAACGGCTCAGTCCATAGGAGAGCTCTTAAAAGCGCCGCCAAACGGGCCGCGCGTGATGAATATCTACGAAAGCGACAAAAGCTGCTACACGAGGGCCAGGAAAAGGGCCCTGATTCTCCTGCGGAGCCAGATGTACAAGCCCCTCCGTCCCCTCAAAACAGATAGACAAACAATAAATGTCTCAGAGAATTTCAACAGCACCGAGGTGCCTTGCATTAAGATGCAAATGTATCTGTGAGACCCTTGGGTAACTATGTAGAGAGATACTTCAGCGCAGTGCATGCTAGCAGACCCATCTGCATCTTTGCTTTCACACCGTAAATGTTTGCAGATAGCGGGTGCAGTCAAGACATCATTTGAAGAGCCCATAACATCTGACCGACTTTGGTATAGGGCCTGGCGTTTGGGGCAGCAAATAGATGTCAAATAGAAAGCATTATATGCAGTGATTTCACGGCACATACTAGTCACTGCACTGATCAGATCCGTGCAGCGACCGGGTCGGTTCAGACGATGTCGCAAGCGAGATCATATGCATCAAGCCAAGAGGCATGCATATCCATATGTGCGGTTTTGTTAGCAGCCCCATCACTTTTGCGCAACTTGGGGCCGCGGAGAGTCTCTCTTATTGGACTAGTCCACAGACGCAGAACCATTGGAAATAAGAAAAACGTCAATGATTCAGTGTTTGTATGGCTCAAGATTTGGATCTCCAGGCTGAAAATGCTGGTGAGATGATATCGCCAGTTCCACTCTCTTCCACCTTAAAGACTTCGATTAGTGACGATTTCTCACGTTTGCGTATTCTCCATGTGCCTTCCTCTTGGATAGTAGTTTTAAGCCCTGCAACAGTCAGTTTAGATCCTATTTCTTTATGTTTTTTCGAGAATTATAATTGGGGCAGGCGGAATCGAAGGTATACGCACATTCAAGAAAGGTGGCTGCAAAGTTAATGCAAATATTTCCGTCCCAAGTCCCACGGCCAAGCTTCTTGACTTTTCCAGGTATGGCGGCAGTCTCGAGTTCCTCAAGACGATGGACGATACCTTGTTGGTCCCGAAAGCCGACAATGATTTTGGGTACACCGAGCAAGAATGACTGGGCCCAGAATTTCAAAAGCTTTCTTTCGTATTTGACCATGTCCCGGTCATTCCTTATTTCGGCGGAAGTTTTCAATTCTACCCAATGGATAGGATCTTCTTTTCGCTCAGGTTTGCAATCCCAGACTGTGAATAGGATACGTTAGAACATATTCATATGCGTTGCTGCAAGTGGTGGCGATGGAGCGGTAGGTGGCCTTATGACATACTTGCATCTACCTCCCCACCAATAACAAGGCGTGCGCGGCCGATGGCAGTGCGCACCACTGAACAATACTGGGCATTGTTGTTTACAATGAGCTCCTCTCGGTTTTCAATGTCTCTGCGAGGAGTCGGGTCCCATGGCTGATCGAGCACTGAAAGAGTCTCGAATTTATAGCCTGACTTGGTCAATAACATTTCTTTCGACAAGGAGAAGTGAGGTCTCACCCCAGTAGGCCATCAGATCCTGAGACGCCATTCCCGGAGGCATTCGTTGGTTCTTCTGAACTCGTTTCTGCTCATTTTTGTAGCTGTTGTTCTCTTCGATAAATCTAGACGATCATTAGAGTCGAGAGCCAGTAGATATAGCAGGCTAGCATGAACCAACATTGTGCCCTAGAAGTACATTAGCAATGAGTCCCCGATTCAATGGCCAATAACATACCTGAAAGCAGGTCGCGTTCATTTCAAATCTGTACGTAAATCAATGGCTGAAGCAGGAAAGCGACGCTTTGTGAATACACACCCATTCAAGTTATCAAATGGAGCTGCAAGGATCTAGATTTACCAAACATGAGCATATTTCTCAGTCCCATCCAATTGGTACACATTATAAGCGATATCTACCTTGGTCATCATGCCTCTCCATGTGATGATATCAGCTTCACATTTCTTCTGGGTTTCTTGTTCCAGAGCCATGATTGTTTCGAGCAGAGCGTCTAGATGCTCATCAGCTGAATCATCTAGCTTTTGAAATGACTCGAAACCGCGGTTCAGGTCCGCGGGGAGGCATGGCGGATAGTAGTATTTCATTGATGAATCTCCGAGATGGAACTTATGCTCATCATCGTAAGAGAAACATGCAATCTCCTGGACAACGGTTAAGGGCCGGCTTTGGGCATTCGGAATTGGATATACTAGTGAAGCTTACCTTCGGACGTCGAATGGCAGCGCTAGCTTCGTAGAAGCGACCAATGGGCTGAATGTCAAAGGCCTTGCGGTCCATGTTTTTGAGATATTGCCCGGGTCTGGTTGGTGACTGGATGTGAATGCGCCGAAAGGGTTACTACTCTATGTACTCTTTCTGCCGTGCGCGTGCGCCTTTCACGAGATTATACCAGGGATTAAGACCGCATGAACTCAAGTGTCAAAGGTGTACTGATGTTGCTTCGGTAAAAAACAATTTGTAGTAATAAGAGCGAACTCATCCACCTCAAATATAGCTAGGTAAGAACCCTGCAGCTCGCGAATGCGGAGTGGAAGAAATAAGTTAGATCGTCGTTGCAGTAGTTCAGTCCAGCTGCTCCCGTCATTCTGGAAGAACCGAAGCGCGTCCCCACCAAAAGTCGCCCGGCCATCAACTTTCCCAGCCGCAAGTTGGCTTGACATCGTCAACCATCCCCCGTCCAGGCCTGTCGAACTTGTTGTGGCCGCTTTATCTTCGCTTCTACCCTCTTGTACTATTTTGTGTGGTTGTTTCGCTATATCAAGCCATCGTCTTCACTGCATCTCCGATCTCTTGACAGTCGCCCCTGGTGATTCATCCGTTCAAGATGACCTCACGTATCGACAAGACAATTGCTCGACAACGAGAGAAGTGAGTCAACCCCATCTTGCTTCCCCCACAGAGTAGTTTCTTGATGTCTACATGTTTTGCCAAAAAGAATATGATAGCTGACGCATCTTGTCTTCCTGAAGGATCGCTTCTGGTGCTTACTATGAAGCTCACCAGCAACTGCGGGTCATCGCTGCCCGGTATATCAAGCAAGCGAACTACGATGCGGCGGCAGAGATTCTTGCTGGCGGCGCCGCCGCACTACTGAAAGCTGGATCTCAACAGGGTGCTTCTGCCAGTGGCGGCGATTTGGCGATCATGTTGGTGGTTGAAGTCTACACAAAGGCGGGGTGGGAGATCACTGGAGGAAATGACGATGCGGAGGGGCGGGCTCGGAAGAGTGAGTGCTTGTCTATGCCCTGTTACACATCGCCGCGCCAGGTTGCCGATGTATTACGAATGCCTTTTTTTGAAGTATATGCGGACTGACCGAGGGCTCCCTCTATCTACAGAGCGCTTAATCGAACTTCTGCACGAATTCCCGCCCGAAGAGCCTACCCGGAAGAGGTTTATCCAGGAGATGATCGGTTGGAGTGGCAGGTTTGGACCCTTAGAACGCGGCGACCCTGAGTTGCATCATGCCGCTGGATCGGTATACGCGGAAGGTATGCAGACCCATATTATTTCTGATTTCGAGGGCGACTTCATAACAGCTATCCCTAGACCACGAACCCTATGACGCGGAAAAGCATCTCATCTTTGGTACCTCGGAATCAGCTGAGACTCTGGCCAAACTGGAATTCGAGTGGTACACCCATGACGAACCGCACACTGCCGCACTTTATGCCTCTCGCGCGGTATTCCCATATCTCTTGATCGGAAACCTTCGCAGCGCCAACAAAGCCTTCCTCATTTTCACGTCAAAGCTTTCCTCCACAAACCCCTCACTCGGCGTGCAAGATGTCAGCAGCGCTAGCTCTGACGTACGCGTCTTCCCCGCGCTGCCATTGTTGAATTTCATCAGCATGCTGCTCCTTACGATTCAGCGCGGTAGTTCGGATTTGTATAAGCAGTTGACGGCGCATTATGCATCTCATATTAGAGACGTCGGAATCTGGGATGACGCCCTGTCTCAGATAGGCGAGCAATATTTCGCAATCAAGATCCCAAGGCAGAGCAACCCGCTGCTGGATATGATGGGAAGCATGTTCTTTGGTGGCGGTCAGGATGGCGCTGGTGCCCGGATGGCACCTCAGGGCAGAGGAGGGTCGAAGAGGGTGGAAGCGCCTCCGACGAGTATGGAGCTCGATTAGAGGGGAGTCAAGGGAATTTGATGTTGTAGTAGACTGCAGTCTGATCGCATCATTCATCACGCATAGTAATTAGCATAGACCATCATATCGCAAACGAATCAATTAGGCCCTCGAGTCGACTTCAGCCTCGTACATCCAGTTATCTTCCTCCAAGGCGGCAACCTTATTGCGAAGGCTCTGGTGTATACGGTTGAGTATTTCTATAGACATCAGCCGAATCGCATCGCAACATAGACCCTGGGAATGTAATCGAGGCTCACCGGCAGGCTCGATACTCATTTGTCTGTTTCGGTTCCGATACATCATCTCAACAAGGTTTGCCTCCATCTCTAACTCATTATTAGCTCGCCTGACTTGGGCCCTCGGGGCATGGAGCTGAAGCTCCACCTACTCTCTTTCTCCTGCGCACTCAAATTGCCCCCTGCTGCGCCGGAACCATCGCCAGCACCCACACCTTCTATATCCTCCATTTCCTCACCATCTTCACCAATCAAGGGGGGTAGTACAGGGACATCAAGCTTGTAGCTACCGTTCTTGTCCTTAACCACGATTTCCCCGTTGTCAACGGATCCGGCGCTCAAAGATGTAGGTGCTTCCGACGAATTTGATTGCAGCTGCTGCGATGATAGGCCAGAGGTGCCGTTGCTGGGTTTGCCCTGCGCAGATGAACCTGCGGGGCCAGTCGAGCCAGCGCGTTTGCTAATGTGGTGGTGGAAGAGATTGCGGCGGACGGAGGTTGTTCCCATTGCGCGGGCGTAGGGGTAGTAGGTGTAGAGGAATACTGAATGTGTACACAAGTAGGTATAATGTGTAAGGATGCCTTTAAGCTGGTTAGCAATGTGTTTTGGGTCCAGGCAAAACTGGTGTCGGTAGTCGTGAGGTCGATGTTGTAGCAACCGAAAAGACTGAGTAAATGAATTTAGAAATGGATGGTGAAATTAAGAATATCCGACGTAGGAGTTCGAATGAGCATAATAATTGCTGGCCTGGAGCAATATCTTATGGTTATGGGGCGTGAATACAGAAGACCCTAGATACGTATTGAGGTTGAAGTTGCAAGGCGGGATTCCGAAAGGCATCACCAGCAAAACCCATCAGTCAACTGGCTGCCTCTGAGAACAAATGTGTGCTTGAGCAAATCAAAGCCGGTATTTCTATACCTGGCTCGGTAATAGTATAAACGGGTATTATTTGCATTATCCCATCGTAACGAATGAAATTCTTTGGGATCGTGCAGGAGTTCAGTCGCTTTTGGCTTCAGCACCGGCGAACAATAACTACCCTTTTGGGCCAAATCTATGCCGACGCGTCTCCGCCTCGACCTTCGCGTCTCCCGCTTCTTCAATTCTAACCCATCATCAGCGCTTTTGCTCCTGCTCGCGGCCTAGCACACAACAAAACCATTCAGTCTGAGGTTGCATATAATTTACATCAAGTTATTATTCGCTATGGTTCAAGCCGAATCCTCAGCCAGTGCCTCTCGCAATGGCCTCAAGGCGCATACGGCTGGCGCCCCTCCTGACTATGAATTGCCCTGGTACGTACACCAGGTCCCAGCACCAAGGCCAGCTTAGAATCCCGAGTTTAATTGCCAATCTTAAAAACAGGGTCGAGAAATATCGCCCAGTATTCCTCGATGACATCGTTGGAAACACAGAAACAGTCGAGCGCTTGAAGATTATCGCTAAGGATGGAAATATGCCGCACGTTATCATCTCGGGCATGCCCGGTATTGGAAAGACAACTTCGATCTTGTGCCTGGCGAGACAGCTATTGGGAGACGCGTATAAGGAGGCAGTTCTGGAGCTCAATGCTAGTGATGAAAGAGGTACATCTACCGCACTATGAGAGGGAGACGAGAGGCGGCTTTGATCTGATCTGCTCTACAGGTATCGACGTGGTACGAAACCGGATTAAGGGCTTTGCCCAGAAGAAAGTCACCTTGCCGCCTGGTCGCCATAAGCTTGTTATCCTTGATGAAGCCGATAGGTACGTACTGGACAATGAGCTATATCGCCTGTCTTGGATGCTCACGCATGGTACAGCATGACATCAGGTGCCCAGCAAGCATTGCGGCGTACAATGGAAATTTATTCATCAACGACACGATTTGCGTTCGCCTGTAACCAGTCAAACAAGATCATCGAGCCGATTCAGTCGCGATGCGCTATCCTACGTTATGCTCGGTTGACCGATGCGCAAATCGTCAAACGTCTGAAACAAGTATGCGACGCCGAGAAAGTGGAACATAACGAAGAGGGCATTGCCGCCCTGGTATTCAGTGCTGAGGGAGACATGCGTCAGGCTATCAACAATCTGCAGAGTACATGGTCGGGTTTTGGTTTCGTCAGTGGGGACAACGTTTTCAGGGTAGTCGACAGCCCGCACCCGATCAAGGTCCAGGCAATGATCAAGGCTTGCTGGGAAGGCAAGATTGATGCGGCATTGGAGACACTCAATGAATTATGGTATGTATCCCATTGCAGCCTAACTATACGTTTGTGGTTTTGTTTTGACTGTATCTCTAGGGATTTGGGGTATTCCTCCCATGATATCATCAGCACCATGTTCCGTGTCACCAAGACAATTCCCACTCTGTCAGAACATTCCAAGCTGGAATTCATCCGGGAAATTGGTTTCACGCACATGCGCATCCTAGACGGCGTGCAGTCACTGCTCCAACTCAGCGGCTGCGTTGCGAAGCTTTGCAAGATCAACATGAAGCCGCAGCTCTTTGAGCCACCGAAGAACTGAGATGAAAATGAAAGTGTAAATTAGATGCAGGCATAACTTGGAGTTTGGGGCGTTTACAAAGTAAGGCTATATCAAGCCCTGGGGTATTTAGCATATGTCGAACACTTTTGATTTTCAAGTTATCATTGATATAGACTCCCGGTATCATTCATTAGGCTCAGTTCATACATCATAGAACATGCATGTTGGAGACTATGCAACTCGTGGCCAGCTCAACAGTCCGGGTTCACTTCCTTGCAGGCATGGGAGCAGAAGGCATCCTAGCGCCCTCCGGCGGCTTGTTCTTGCTCTTGAATTCATCGCACATCTGTTCAAAAGTGACCCATTCCACGCCCTCGTGCTTGTTGATATATTCAATGATTCTAGATCCGATCAGCAAGGCACCCCACATGAGAATTCGAACCAGACAATCACCCAACTTACCTCTCATGCATAAGAAGAACATGCGGACGACCCGACACATCAGGATGAATAGTCATGGGGAAGACAAACTCATCGTACTCGCGATAGAAGTAGTCAAAATGATCCTGCCAGAACATCAGTTACATCAAAAGGCCCCAAGTTCCAACGAATTAAACCCCCTAGGGCAGAAAAAGAAGCGAACTCACCTTCCAAAGCTCCTCAACATCCTTAGGATTCACCCAACCATGACTATTCGGCGCGGACTTGATAAACATCATAGGCGGCAAATCATCAATATACCAATTGCCCGGGATCTCCACGAGCCCCGTATCCTGGCCCCTAACCAGCGGCTTCATCCAAGTCTCCGCCTTTTGGGAATAATCAATCTTAGTCCAAGTATCGCCCGTTCTCAACCAATACATCTGACAATCATGATGAGACATGGAATGATCATATTCAATTCCATAGGAGAGCAACAAATCGGCCATCTCTTTACTGGTTTCCCACCATGGCGCAACGATGCCCCGCGGCGGCTTGCCAGTGAAATCGTACAGTAGGTGATAGGTCTTATCGAGGATGTCGCGTTGCTGCTCGAGGGTCATGTCGGAGGGGTTTTCGTGTGTGTAGCCGTGCAGGCCGATTTCGTGGCCGGCGTCTCGTACCATGGCGCATTCTTCGGGGAAGGTTTCGAGTGAGTGGCCGGGGATGAAGAAAGTGGCTTTGATGTTGTATTTGGAGAAGAGTTTGAGGAGACGTGTGGTGCCGATGTGGCCGGCCCAGAGTCCTGCAGGTTGTGAGTGAGTGTACTACCACTACTACTATCGGTTGGGTGTTTGTTTCTGTTTATTGTTTGGGCTTTTTACTTACCTCTACTGATATCGTTGGAACTGTCCTCGCCGCCGTAGGATCCCAGCCAACCGGCGACGGCATCAATGTCGACGCCATAACTGACGAGAACGCGCTTCTTGCCCATGTTGGTGTTCTTCTTTCTGTGTTGGGGAGATTGGGTTTAAATCTCAGATGATGTGGCAGACCTAGTATGTGTCGGATATGTAAGTGGATTGAGTGAGAAGCAGGCAGTCAAGTCGACACGTTTAACCGAGGGGTAACACACTACCCCCAACCTTGGCCATTGGCTATTCTTTTATATAGTCGATCAGTGAGGGGGTACCGACTAATTTGGTCATATGCGATAACTGATCGGAGGGGGAGAAGATAAGGCGCGATAACCGGGCATGGAGAGAGTCGGTACTACAGCAATAGAGTGTCTTATCAGTATACAGATGCTACTGTAGCCATTAGTACTCCGTATTATTTAGTCGATAACTGTCATGATTCGATCTAGTCTGATTAGTCTGCTAGCTATCTAGATACTAACTAGTTAGTACCTGCTCAGGATTGAAACACAGTATATTGGCTTACTCCAACAGTGACGCCTCCACTTCTGGCAGTGACTCCAACGGCCCGGTTGGAGTAAGTCTCGCGGGAAAGTGGGGGTTGCGCTCGGAGCGATGGAGATATCTAGATGATTATCTAGAGTAAACCTTAGAGACACCCCGAGATTGGACTATTGGACTATGCTATAGATGTCTCAAACTAGCTGCGCCAAATCTTCTCAATGGCAGTCGCTGCTCCTAGGACCTTCTCCTCTTCTAGTTTCTTGCCGATGATTTGAACATTAATCGGATGACCATCCATAGCCTCCGCATTGTAAAGCCCCCAATTCCATGCGTCCAGTTCATTCCTCGGTTGATTACCTGCTGGCAGTTCGTCCACCTCAGCCCGCACCTGATCCACTGGGAATGTAACAGCGGAGTAATCAAGGAAATTCCAGATTTTCGTAT